GAGGAATGTCTGACGTGAAAATGTTGAATAGGATAGGCCCTAGCAGGCTACCCTGAGAGACCCCTGCATCAACGTTGAACGTATCAGAGGGGACATTGTTCAAGTAGACCTGGAATGATCTGCCCGACAAGTAGTTTTTGGTGATCTTCACGAGGTAGATCGGAAAGTTGTTTCGATGCAGCTTGTACACTAGACCATCATGCCAGACATTGTCGAACGCCTTCTCGACGTCCAACAATGCCATGGCAGATGTATTGGAAACGGACTTGTTCCGCTTGATAATGTTAGTAACCCATGCGAGTTGGTGGATGGTAGAGTGCCCTTTCCTAAACCCAAATTGCTCTTTGAGAAATATGTTATTATCATTTGAAAACACCAGCAGACGGCTGAGTATCAATTTTTCGAATAGCTTCGAGATGGAGGACAAGAGGCTGATGGGGCGATAGCTTTTGGCACTGGTAGGATCTTTGCCAGGCTTGTGTATTGGATTTGTTGAAGATAGCGGTAAGATGGTTGAAGAAGTCAATACTCAAGTTTTTCAACTCGCGGTTGACTACACCATCCATACCCGCAGCCTTCATGTTTTTAGTACTTCTAATAGCTGCTATCACCTCATCAGCCGATATTCTACTATGATCATGCACTACTACGGGGGTGTCAGCGACTCTAGTCGTTGCCTCCAGGACGGCAGGCCCATGGTTTGACCAAGATTATGTGAAATCACAAAATGTTGGCCAAGAGCATTCGCCTTTTCAACTGGGGTTATCAGTAGGGATGGGTCTAAGTGGTCTACAGAGGAAAGCGGAGGGATCGGTCTCGACTTATTTTTCAAAATTTTGGTCATCTTCCAAAATGGTTTTGCACAATCTGGGAGAGCGAATCTTTTTGGTAAAATCGTTATTTCTGAGTTCCACCATCCTGGCCTGGATAATTTTGGTTAGCCTATTGACATTGGTCTTCAAGTGGGGCAGCCCAGAAAGCTGGAACTGCCTACGAATAGTGTTACGGAGCCTGATAAGATCTTGGTTGGGCTGTCAAGGTTCAGAGTATGACTCACCTGTCTGGATGCTGGTACGTGTTGCTCCCTGGCACGGGATATCGCCTCTTCGATGGCTTGCAGACACTGATCGACTTCTTCGAACGACTCCGGTAGGACGTCGTAATTGATTGCTGTGTCCAGTTGACACGATGGTAATTTCGCCGGGAAACTTGAAACCTATTGGCCGAGGAACCTACTTGGGCCACCACCGGATAGTGGTCCGAGCTCAGTTCCTGATAGGCGATAGGTTGGGAGATGTTATCGCCAATGTTGCTGATGAAGATGTCGATGGTGGCATGAGCTCCGGATTGACTCAACCGGGTGGGAGAGTCCGGACACAGAATGTTGTAGTGGGCTTGCTGCAGATCGTTGTATAATATTGTGCCGTTCTAATTTCGCCGACTATTGCCCCAGGCTTGATGTTTGGCGTTCAGGTCGCCAGCGATGACGAAATTTTGCCGTCGTCGTGTTAGCTTGATGATGTCTCTTCGCAGGTCTGCGGCCGAGTCGTCCCTAATGTTGGTTTGCTTGGGGCAGCAGACCACGATGATGGTGATTGGACCAAGCGATGTGCTCACCTCAATTCCGATGGCTTCGATAATTTTCAGCTGGAAGCTTGGTAGTAGCCGGCAGCTGATGTTCCGCCTCGCAGCGATGGCCACTCCCCCTCCCCCGGAGCTGGTGCGGTCAAGCCTTATGAGCCGAAAGTCGGGAAGGAAGACGTTCAGCTCAGGCTTCAAGTGTGTCTCGGTGATGACGGCTATGTCGATTTGCCGTTCGTTGAGAAAGTCAACAAACTCGATGTTTTTGCTCTTCAAGGAGCAAGCATTCCAATTTACGATCTTGATGACTTTACGGTCCATACTTAGTGACAAGGGAGACGATGCTGAACTGTCCGACTGTTGGGAACCATTTGGATACTCTCAGGGTTGGCTTGTTGGTTGTTGAGCGGAAGCGGGGCTAGGTTCGGAACATGTCGACGGGGCTGGAGAGCTGGGTACTGGACTTCCGTGAGTACAGGAGGCGTACGATGATTACGGAGGCGACCGACCTGGTTGTTGATTGTAGCCTTCCGACGGATATTAATGAACTCCACTCGCTTGGGACATCCGCGATTGGAGGCTTGATGGTTTCCACCGCAGTTGACACACGTTGGCTCAATGTCATCAACTTGCTCACAGGACGCAGTTGAGTGAGTCCCAGCACACTTGCCGCAGTTTGTCTTCATATGGCAGTTTTTGGTGCCATGGCCATAGGAGAGGCAGTTCGTACACTGCGTAACATCACGATGTTGGGGTTTGTAATGCTCCCAACTGATGATAACCTGAAACAGGTCCCGGATTTTGAATCTCAGAGCCGCAAGACTGGTGGATCCCTTCGTGAAGTGCACCAGGAACAACTGGTCACGGAAGCTGGTATTGTTGATGGAACGGCGGTTCATCTGGAACACGACCTCAGGTTGGAGCCCACGCCGCTCCAGCTCGGACTTCACCGCAGCCGCCTCGAACGACGGTAATCCACGCAAAATCGCCTTCAGTGGCTTGCTCGATGGCAGATCATGCGTGAAGAAGTCCACGTTGTTTTCTTTCAGGAAACATCCTATTTGTTTGTACTCCTCCAGGCTGGAGCACATGATTTTGGTACCGATGCTGTAAAGCTTAAAGCGAGGCAGCAGCTTGTGTTTTGTCAGTTCGGCACCTAGCTTGGCAACATCCTTCACCGGCGTGAAAAGCGGGGGAATTCGCTCTTTTCTTGCAATGGGAGCGGCGTCACCATCGCCATTTTCTTCCGGGAGTACTGCATACAGGTTGGCTTGCAGTACTCGTTTTCCGACGTCATTCTGCGACGCGCTGGGCTTGATTAGCATCTTCTTTGAAAGGCCCGCTGCTGACTTATTGGCACGTTTACGCACCATTTGTTTCGTGTTTGCAAGTTCAAGTAAACTTGCCAGAACGCGAGAAGGTGGCGACACTTCCACTACGCAACGCGACGGCACAAAACGAAACAAAATCGAAACGTGATCTCGAGCGAAAAATACGGACTGAACAGCTCAACAGTCGAGCAAAGAATGTTGATCAAATCTATGCTGACGACGTTCAACTATATATATAAGACGGCTTGGTCCGTGTGTTCGTGAGCTAATAAGAATGGTGAACGAGGACCTTGAGAGAGTTGCTGAATGGTCTGATAGTAACGAGCTTTTTGTGAACCAGTCGAAAAGCAAGGCAATTTTCGTTAAGGGACGCCGTCGTAGCTCTGTTCGCACTGATCCGCTGCCTGTTATCTCCATGAAAGCGAGCATGAAAGGACAACCCATTGAATGGACCGACAGAGCTGTAAATCTTGGTTTCGTGTTTCAAGCTGACTTGGAGTGGGATGGACTAATTAATCAGCAATGCGGAAAAATCTACGCTTGTCTGCGCACGCTCTATAGTACAGCTTCTGCCGCACCCTCGAATGTTCGGCTTAAGATGTTCAAAGCTCTAATACTGCCGCATTTTCTGTTTGGAGATCCTCTGCATGTAAACCCCAGCGCGAACTCCATGGGCAGGTTACGAGTTGCACTTAATAGCTGTGTCCGTTTCGTCTATGGGCTTGACCAGTACGCAAGAGTGAGTCATCTCCAGCCAAACTTGATCGGTTGCTCGTTGCAGAATTTGTATGCATACCCGTCTTGTGTCTTTTTGTGGAAACTTGCCAAAACGTATTCCCCACCAACGCTCTTCTAGAAGTTGATCCCGTTCCAAAGCCGTCGATCGCAAAATTTGATCCTTCCACCGAACAACACGTCAGGTTACGCAAGCACAATGTTCGTCAGAGGTGTGGTAAATTGGAATGTGCTGCCTTCTACGATTAAACGTTCGACTTCAGAAGCAAATTTTAAGAGGGGCTGCCTCGAGTTTTGGAATTGTCGATAAAGGTTAGACATAGGTTAGTGTTTGAATTATATAACTGACGACAAACGATGTTATGTACAAAACATGTTACAACTCGGAGGTAGTATTTTAAAAGGGGTTACCCCTTACACTGCCAGATGATAAATAAACAAACAAACAAACAAACAATCCTGTCATCTGCGAACAACTCGAGTGAAGCCGAGGGGGGCGACACATTTAAATCTCAATTCTAGATGCTCAAGAAATCTCACACTAGCGAATCAATCTTCGAAAAATCATCTTTCATTTCTCGCATCTACTTGCATCGTGCTCATCTTTTTGCAGGAAATCTTCAAAATCGACATAAATCTTCCTTTGATCTACTCAGCGTGCGTGCAGCTAACCACAGCAAAACACAATCTTTTCTGTATCGTAGATAGAGTCGTCCCCCTCGAGTGAAGCCAAATTTCTCTGGTGCTCTGGTGCTAATTTGACAGCTCCTCCTTTTCCTCTATGATTAAGCTTGGTACATGTCACGCCGCGTTGCGGAAAATAGATAGAGTTTCCTAGATAACGTGATAGTAAAGCATGATTCACGCAAATTGTGCTCTTCAATTCGAAAACAACTAAATCATTTTTCAATTGTCCATTGCGGGAAAGTAAGAATGGTTTTGAAGGCATTACATTTGTTGTCACCTTGCCACATTTAATGTTACATGGTTGGAGCTTAAATATGTTATGGATCATCAGCGCTGCTGATGTTTTCGGTAGTTTCAACTGGAACTAGATCGCATTGCAGGGGGTTGGATATAACATGTCGCCTATGCGCCTGACACTAGGCTGGAAAAAAGTAAACGTAAACAAAAAAGTTGTGATCGACAAAATTTGATTTCGCTGGAGCGTATCCATATGTTTACAGTTCCAAGCGAAGTGAAATATTTGCGAATTTCCCTTTTCACACAGGTGAAAAATGTAAAATTTTGTATGAGATTTTCACTTCGCTTCGATCTCGGTACATGGCTATACAGAAAGAATACAATCGCAATTATCTAATAATTGTTGTTTTCTTGTTAACCTTCTTTCAGGTCCTCCGCAACGACGAGCACTCCACCCTGACCGTCGATGGCGTGTCCCAGAGCCGGACCTCCCGAGGGAAGGAATTCCTGTTTGGGAAGTTCGCCACCAACTCGGACGTGTTTGTCGGTGGCATGCCCAAGTGGTAAGTACCAATAGTCTAAATCTCAACACTAGATATTTTATTTAACTTCATCCAAGAAGTAAGGAAAGTGTAGTGGTCCTCTCAGTGGACATTAGTCTCAACGCTATCCTGCATGCCTACGTTGAAAAATTTGGAAATAATTCATTTGAACTTGATTTAGGCCGCATGGCCAATTGACCACTTTGTCAAGCAGTTTAAGCGTGACTTTCTATCAGCGATTTCACAAAACTGGACCAACTTATTTCTATTTTTTTATGAAACGCACAAATTTTGGCTACTGTCCTCGTGGTTCTAGAAGAAAAAATCTCAAAATAATGTTTTATTTCAGTGGTAGTAAACGTCATTTTAACTGCTCAAATGAAATGGTTAATTAGTAAAGCCCGACCTCGAACCACGCCGTATCCATTTAATAATATTGCATAACTATTCAACGGGATAAGATTTGTTAAGTGAATCCGGAATGAAGAACCGCCGCCCTCACCGCCATCAGTCCGTGGTAGAAATGCTTTTCCATAATTAAAAACATTTAATATAAAACTTTATCCTGTTTTGGCTTTTCGGTTCCACCGGGCCACAGAAAGATATAAAAGCTACAGACAGAGGCAGATGCGGGAAAGCGAAGTGGATTCAGTCGTGAACTTAATTCCACCTCCGGTTTAAGCCCCCGTAACACACCAGCACTCCGGAAAGGAATCCGCAAAAGGAACGGTGCGAAACGAGCTTCCTCCCGAATTCGGAATTTTTCCGGCTAGGTCGGTGGGTTGGAGAAAACGGAGAGCTGTCAGATAAATTTCGCTCGGTTGTTCGGAATAAACTTTTTCCATTTGGAAATGTTTCTATGCTCTCTGCCGGTGGTGGTGCAGCTGCAGACGCGCAGACCGAGATTCTGAGGACACCGAAAATAGACGTGCTAGAAATTGGTTTTCCGGGAAATTGGCCTGGTTTGAAGGGGTATTTTCAAACGATATTGATTCCATTGTATTCTTATTCAGAAAACGAGTAGTTTGATGTGTCGCACGGTAGGCTTCGGTGCCAAGCGGGAATTGGCCACCGGTGCAATCCGTTCCGGATATTTTACCGGTGAAATATTCCAAAGGCTGTATCTCGGTGGGTTTGCGCTGTAATGAAGTATTTTTTTTTCAAATCCATGAGCTTGAGTAGGAGCTCTTCACATAATAAACACCAACATGCCTACCAATTTACAGAGTGCAGTCGGGTAAATAGAGCGAGAGCCAGGCAGGTGACATCTGTCTCACATTCGCAATTTTGCTAGAATCTCAACCAAAGTTTCCATCGTCGTCGTAGCTATCTTTTCAACCCTAAATTGAATAACGTGCTTCCATTGCCGTATCACTTTTAATTAGTGAGAATGCTTTTTGCCAACCTTCTGGCAACAACCGGCTCGCTCTTGAAACGAATGACGACGTTGTGCGGAACGAATTTGGGTCAAGTCTTGGGTGCATGCACGGACTGACTGGGGGTGGCTGATCCACCTGCTGTGTGTGGTGATGAACTAAGTCTGTTTTATCCTTTCGTTCTTTTTCGAGTCAGAATCAGATACGGCAGCTGCTGATGGGAGTCGGGTGCGAGAAAAAAAAACAGTGCACGACATCTGGATTATGTCGGCATGACGGGTGCTGAGTAATTACTTTGGCTCGGTGGCCATGGACGGATCTTTGTACTTGAAATTCTATGTTTCAGAGATAATTTCAGCTCTTTGATTTCGGCGGAATCGAGTTGCTAACATCGAACACGATTTAAATTGGACGTGGATATTTCAGTATACATAAACAAATGTCTCATCTCCAGAGTTCTTTTCCCGTTTGACCGGCGTTCTCTAAAAGGTCTAAGAATTTACCTGTTACCACCATGTTGAAAGAATTGGTTATCAGGACAACATTTCCGAAGACAGCAACGTCCCAGATAGTCAGATTCACGCGATATAGCACAAACTGGAAGTTCACACCGACACTAATGAATGGATTTTCAACCATCCTAAGGGCCCTAGCTACCTGAACCACTCAATCGAAGACAGGAACTTTCTATTTCCTTATTTGAACTGCCCATCTGAAGCTTGTGAGGACTGCTGGAAACATTCCAATTCACCGATGAAATCAAAAACTTTCGAAACGTGAAAGACACACTTGCTCTCGGAACTGTAAGGCTTTCAAGAGTTTTCGGAAGGCCTGAAACTCTGTAAACTCTTTGAAATACAACAGGTCCGGAATACCAGAATAGAAATATACAGCACTGCATAAACTTTTTAAGCGTCAGAATTTTTCGAAACTCTGGTACTCTGGAAGCTTTTGAGAATCCTAGTACTTCAATCTTACTGTTGTCCATGCGACCTCTTGCCCCTATTCATTTCATTCGACCTTTTGTAAGGTCGAAGGATAAAAGGTCGAAGGACAAAAGGTTGAAGGACAAAAGGTCGAAGGACAGAAGGTCTAAGAACAAAATGTCGAAGGACAGAAGGTCGATGGACAAAAAATTGAAAGGAAAAAAGGTCGAATGGATAAGAAGTCGAAGGACAAAAGGTCCAACAAGCCATCCAATGCATGAGGTCAAAGAATCTCGAATCTACGACAAAAGTTCGAGTGGGAAAAAGGTCGAATGGATAAAAGGTCGAATGGACAAAAGGCCGAATGAAATGTATAGGGACAAAATGTCAAATTAAATTTGTAGGGACAAAAGGTCGAATGGTCAAAAGGTTGAAATTTACGAAAGGTCGAAATGGACGCAAGGTCGAAAGAACTTTCGAGCAATTCATGTTGAAGTGATTAGTAGCTTTAGCTTCTAAAGAACTGCTCATATTTCAACAAGAGTTGAAAGAGTTTAGTGCAAGAAATATCTTCCAAGCATTTTCAGCTGGAGTGATCAATAGCTTTTATCTGTCAAAGAACTGCTCATGTTACCAAGAAGGAGTCAACTTCAAGGTTGAGAAATAACTTTTGAACATTTTCAGCTAGGTTGTTCAATAACTTTTATCGACCAAAGAACTGCTCCTATTTTAAAGAAGGATTTAACTTCAAGTGGGAGAAAGAACTTTCGATTCGTTCAGTTAGGTTACTCAAAGCCAAAGTTGGTACTTGATTTACATAGCATATTTTCATTCTGACGTGTTATTATTTTTTTCTTTGATCCACTAAAAGTTATTTAACTATTTGTTCATTTCAACCTTTTGAGCATGTGACCATTTTTCTTATAAATTTCATTCGACCATTTTTTTTAAATTTGATGTTAAGTCCATTTGACTTTTTGACCATTTAACCTTTTGTCCATGTCGACTTTTGTCCATGTCGACTTTTGTCCATGTCGACTTTTGTCCATGTCGACTTTTGTCCATGTCGACTTTTGTCCATTAAAATTTTTAACTCGACCTTTCGTCCACTCGACCTTTTGAGCATTCCACCTTTTGAGCTTTCCACCATTAATCCCTTTTATTTTCATTCGACCTTTTGTACATTCAACGTTTTGTTCATTTCGACTTTTTGTCCATTCGACCTCATGTCTATGCAACCTTTTGTTCTTACAAAACCTAGTGGGGTGACCCCGGCGTATTGGTTAGCATCCATACCTCTCACGCCAAAATCACGAGTTCAAATCTCACCCCTGGACAAGTCACGAATGACCCAAGAGCGTTAAAGTGACTATAATAATTTGAAACAAAAATTAGACCTTTTGTTCCGGTATTATTAAATTCGACCTTGAGTCCAATTTGCCGTTTTGTTCATATGACCATTTTGTCTACTTCTACTTTTTGTCCGTTCAACCTTGTGCCCTTATAAATTTAATTTGACCATTTGTTCATTCGACCTTCTAAGAATTCGACATCCTGTCCCTTTAATTTAACAACCCGATTCGATATTTTGTCCATTGGACTGTTTGCCTATTCGACCTTTTGTCTAGTAAGACATTATGTCCATTCAAACTTTTGCTCTAATAAATTTAATTTGATCTTTTGTCCATTCGACCTCTTGTCCATTGAACACTTGGTTTATTTGACCTTTTGTTCCTCTCGTCATTATTTCCATTAGACTTTTTGCCCATTCGACCTTTTTGTCTATTTCGACTTTTTGTCCTTAAACATATACTTCGACCTTTTGAACATTCGACCATTTGTCCCTTTTAATTTCATTCGACATTTGGTTCATTCGATGGTTTGTCCATTCAACTTGTTGTCCTCTCGACCTTTTTTCCATTTAGACTTTTTTTCTACTCGACCTTTTCGTCTATTTCGACTTTTTGTCCGTTCAACCTTTTGTCCTTATAAATTAAATTCGACCTTTTGTCCATGCGACCTTCTGACCATTCGACCTTTTGTTCCCTTTAATTTCAATCGACCGGTTGTTCATTCATCTGACCCTTTGTCCATTTCGACATTTTGGCCATTCGACCTTTTAGATTTTTGTTGGTTCAACCTTATGTCCTTATAAATTTATTTCGACCTTTTTTCCATTCGACCTTTTGATCATTGGATCTTTTGTCCCGTTTAGTTTTCGTTCAACTTTCTGACCAGTCGGCAATTTGTCCTTTCGACTATTTATCCATTCGAACTTTTGTCCATTTCAATTTTTTGAACATTCGACCTTCTGCAAATTTAGGTTGTTGGTCCATTCAACCTTTTGTGCTTACAAATTTAATACGACCTTTTGGCCACTGGAACATTTTGAACATACGACCTTTTGTCTATTTTAATGTATATCGACCTTTTGTTTATTCGACGTTTCGAGAACTCGACTATGTGTCCATTCGACGAATTTCCTATTACGACTTTTTGTCCATTATACCTTTTGTCTATTTCGACTTTTTGTCCGTTTTTTCCTTATAAATTTAATTCGACCGTCTTTACATTCGACATTTTAAGCATTCTACCTTTTGCCCCGTTTTAATTTCATCGGATCTTTTATTCAGTCGACGTTTTGTCCATTCGGCTTTTTGTCTATTCGACCTTTTGTCCATTTCGACTTTTCAACATTTTTTTTATATCTTGATTTTTT